CTCCCTGCTTGCTCCGGGGGGCAGCTGACAGTTTGCTGTTCAGTTCCAGCCCCTGCCAGTCGGTCCGATGCCACCCGCCACCCCCAAGTATGCCTACGGCAGGGTGGTCCTGCGGAAGGTGAGTGCTTGCTCTGGGGGCTGTGCTGTCCCTGCCTGGCACTGCCCAGCTGCCCTGTGCCCATCCCTCTCTTTGCAGCATGCCGACCTCCTGGATGTCTTGGATGTGCTGTGCCCCTCCGGGCCCATCCAGAGCCAGTTCCCCCTCACCTTTGAGGCCATAAAGCAGGTAAAGGGCTGGGTGAGGTGGGGGAGATGCTCCTAGGCTTATCTCCCCTGCCCTGTCTCTGGGGTGGAGGAGCAGAACTCGTCACCTGCCCTGTGCGTGCTGGTCCCCTTTTTGTGCCACTCGCTGTGTCCCACAGGTCCATGGCTTTGTGCTGTACCGCACACGGCTGCCCCAGGACGTCCTGGACCCAACCACACTGGGGGCTCCTCCCCACAGCGTCTGCGACCGTGGCTACGTGATGCTGCAGCAGGTGAGGCTGCAGGAGCACACCCCATCCCTGGTCCAACGCTCAGGAGGGCTGTGGGACCTGCCAGCAGCAGGGCCAGGATCTCGGGGACAGCCCAGGTGCTGAGAGCCACACTGAGCCCTTGTGGAGCAGCCCTGTGGCCCGAATTTGCCCCCTTTGGGGGGCAGAGGGGTGGGCTGTGGTGGGGCAGGCTGGGGGACGCTATGCTGGCAGGCTGCCGGCAGCGTTCCGGACAGGGGGATCTGTCCCTGTGGCTGCAGGAGTACCAGGGGACACTGGAGCGGGACGGGCAGACAACGCTGCGTGTGACGGGCAGGGAAGGAGACACTCTGGACGTGCTCCTGGAGAACATGGGCAGGATCAGCTTCGGCGCCAACATCAGTGACTTCAAGGTGAGGGGAGAGGGCCCCAGAGGAGATGGCCTGGACAAACACCCCCTCTCCTGCCACCCACAACAGACCCCAGCCACGGTGGGGCCACCCCCAAACCTGCTCCTTGCTCCATCTCACACCGTCCCCTGGCACACCTGGCAGGAGGGTAAGGCTGTGAGATGGGTGCCACTCTCTCCCAGTTGCGCTGCCCTGGCAGCTGGGAGAGGGCAGCCCCTCAGAGGGGATCCCATCCCACCTCTACTGCTGGGAGGGTGATGTGCCCTGGGGAAGCTAAGCATCCCCCTGCTATCTCTTTTTCCCTCCTGCTCCATCTCAGGGCTTGCTGAGGAACCTCTCCTTGGACTCCAGCCCTCTCAGCAACTGGCTCATCTACCCCCTGGCCATAGACACTGCCATCCAGCAGGGCTGGCTCCACTCTGCCCTACCGAAATCAAGTAGCAGGGGCAGAGCAGGGCCAGCCTTCTACACTGGGACCTTTGAGACCCCTGGCATCGCCTGGGACACCTTTGTGAAGTTCCCAGGTTGGACCAAGGTAAGGTGGTGCGTAGCCAGGAGACAGGGTGAGGGTGGAGAGGGGCAGAACTCAATCCCATCTCCAACTTCCAGGGCCAGCTGTGGATAAACGGCTTCAACCTGGGCCGGTACTGGCCCCCTCGTGGGCCCCAGCAGACCCTCTTTGTGCCCGGCTCGGTGCTGCACGTTGGCCGCCCCAACAACATCACAGTGCTGGAGCTGGAGGGGGCACCCCCCACCCCCTTCCTGCTTTTTCTCGACCAACCCCTTTTCAACAGGACCCTCGCGGCCACAGAATAAACGCAGGGCTGGGGGGCACCGGTGTTGCTTCTCGCTGGGGAGGTGGCAGGGGGCTGGTGAAGCACAGGGGCTGCAGGGCCCCAAGTACAGGGCACGTGTCCTGGCACGGACAGCTGGAGCTCCTTCCCTCCCCCGGGGCCAGGCAGGGTCTGTGTTAAGAGAAAGGGGCTCAGAGTTGAGCTTGTTTTGCACGTTAATCCCAAATAGTTCCAGTGCTCCTGCTGACACCCCCCACACCTCGGGGGGTCAAGGCACCTCTTTATTGATGATGCAGACAGAGGAGGTAGTTGATAATGTGATACGGCTGAAACAGTGATGGCAGCCAGGAGAGGAGAGGGCAAAGCACAGCCCAAAGGGTGCCCAGAGGCACAGCTGCAGGTACCTCAGGGCTGCAGGGTCTGGATAGGTAAGGATCTGTCCCACTGCCACGGGCAGCAGCCTACGAGGTAGCCATGAGAAAAGCGGGCAGCAAGATACCCCACATCACGCTGCAGCTGGGCCATGGCGCAGTCCTGGTCCTTCATACTAGTATGTAGGGACCTCCTGATCGTAATGTCCCCAGAGTCACCACCAGAGTGACATTCTTGCCTTGAGCCTTGTCAGAGTTGCCCTGAAGAATGACATGACCAGCTGGGTCCCTCCAACAAGCACTGCTCCACAGGCTTTCCCGCGCTGCACACCCAGCGCTCAGCCGTGTCTCCACCGCATCGGTCCTTGGCAAGTGGCAGCAGTCCCCAGCCTTACGTGTGGCTGGCCCGGGCCCGGCGGTGTGTTTGCAGGCAGGTTGTGGAGCAGAAGGAGAAGTCGAGATAATGGAAAGGGATCCTGCCCAGTAAGGACTCGCCACAATGCCAGCAGCGGCTGCAGGAAAGAGCAGAGGTGGCCCTGAGTGAAGGGGACACTCACAAGGGGGTTAGAGAAGCAGAGAGGAGTCAGTGCCTGGGCTGTGACATGAGACAGCAGGAGGGAGCTGGGGCTCCTCTGGTCCCACAGGGCTCACCCAACAGCCTGGCCAGGAGCTGCCGAGGGTGAGGTACCTTGAGGCAGGCTAAAAATGGGGGGAATTTGTCCCCACAGTAGGTTGTAAAACCCCTGCCCGTATCAGCACAGGTAGGGCTGGCTGCCCACAAGCCTGTCAGCTGGCATAAGGAAGGGTCTTTCTGTCGGGTTCTCACCACATGGGATGCAGGGTGAGGGGCGCAGGAGCGGCTGGGGGATTGGCTTGTCATAGATCGTGGCTGCAAGTGGACCAAGTTGTCCTTTCCAAAATATTTCAGGGGCAGGGCAGGGGAAGAGAGCAAGAAAGCTTTTAGACAGGCACTGCTGGGAATCGAGCGGACAGGAATAGCTTTAGGCTGGAAATGAGAACTGGAGCAAGAAGGGCAGGGAACAGCTGAGCTGACGTGGGAGAGGAGTGTGTTTGTGGAGCTGTTACCTGATGTTGGCAAGAGCAGTGCCAGTGTCCTGCAGCTGCGCAGCCAGCCTTCGCTCGGCAGCCAGGGCCCTCTGGGGAGCAGAGAGACAGCTCAGCACCAGCCCCAGCCCCTGGGAGCCGCTGTGCCCAGAGCCCACCCCATCGGCACTGCCCCAGCCAGGCTGGATGCCCTTCCCCACATACAACCTCACCTTCTCCCTGTCGGACAGGGCTGCGAATCGCTGCTTTTCTTCCTGCTCCTGCTCCCAGCGCTGCTGCTCCTCCCGCTTCGCCTGGTCCCGCTGCTTCCGCTGGGCTTTCTGTGCCCGCTTCTTCTCCAGCTTCTTGGCCTCCATCTCCTGCGTGAGGGGTCCTGGCACCTGGGGGCAGAGGGGAGTCAGTATCTCCCACCGAGCCAGTGGCAACAGCACGAGTGGGCGAGAGGCGCTTTGCTCTGGGGTCCCCCAGCCCCCAGAAGGCAAGGGCAGGCACCTACCTTGGCACGGCTGTAGTCATACTTGTCTGGATGGTCCACCATGAACTTGCGGAAAGCGTTGCGGGTCAGTTTGTCAGCAGAGACACAGTAGGGAGTCCTCTCCTGCCCATCTCTGTGAGACAAGGAAGACCAGCTCACCCTGACATCTTACTGCCCGTGTCCCCCTGGGCTGTGAGCCCAGCAACTCCCCAGAGATGTGCAACAGGTACTGCATGCCAGGGTATTGCAGCCAAGGAGGGGAAAGTTGCTTATCCCTACACCAGAACCCCCCAAATCCTCCCCTTCTTGCATCTCAAATGCCCTGCAAAGGGCGATCTCATCCCTACCCCCTGAACTGCCTACCAATAAACCAGGGAGCGCTTGGGAGCAGTGCCCGCCTGCTGCTGCACCAGACCAGGTGGGCAGAGAGAATGGTGGATCAGCTCTTAAACCTCCCGTAACAAACCCAGAAGTCCTGGCTGGTAGAGACCAACCCTGCCTGTCCCAGGACAAGGCTGGCACCAGTTTCCCATGGCTGATACAGGAGGGAATTGCTGGGCTCCCAGACTGGGGATGTTCATCAAACACTGGGTGCCCTGTGGCCATACCTGAGGGCAGGGTCAGCACCCGCCTCCAGCAGCAGGCACACAGCCTCAGCCTTCCCAGCCCGTGCTGCCACATGGAGCAGGGTGTAGCCACGCTCATCCACGGGCTGGTTGAGCAGGGAGCGGGCCATATCCAGTGGCTGTGTGTCCTCTTCTCCATCTCTGCTGTCCCCCGGCAGGTCCCCACTCTCTGGCACACCCAGGAGGTGCCGCAGCGTCCCCACATCCCCCGTTTTGCACGCGGTGAACAGGGCATCGCGGAGCTGGGTCTGAGGGTGTCCTATGAGGGAAGAACAGGAGGGGAGTCTGATGGCTCCCTGGGCAGAGCAGTGCTCTGATTTGACAAGGAAACACACACAGCGCTGCTAAGCATGGTCCTACTAGCTGATTCGGGCACTGCAAGATCTCCAGCACCTTCAGAGTTTGTGACAATGTGCCATGGCATTGCTGGGCACTGTTTGCAGCAGCCAAGCCCTTTCCTTCCAAGGGTAAGACCCACTCCAATCCCCCCCGAAACACCTGGGGGTGACGTCTGCCCCCCCCCAATTCAGAGCTACTGCTCTGAACTCGTGGCTCACTTGAAGGCATGTGGCTGCACTACAGCCACCCCACACCCAGCTGCTCTGGGCACCTGTGTGACAACATGCTCTTCACCCTGCTGCAAAGCCACCAGCAAATGGGCAGGCATCCACCCAGCCCAGCTCCTGACTCTACTTACCTCCATCGCCCCAGGGAAGAGGCTCAGCCCCAGCCTCCCCCTGCAGCTCCGTTGCCAGCCCCAGGCCAGGCTGCCCAGACTGGGTACCATGGCATCCCGTCTCTTCAGCACAGGGCCCTGCACAGGGAGCACACAGTGATGAAAAGGGCAAGGGCACCAGGGCCAACCTCCATCCCAGCCACAGCAGTCCCTTCCCCAGTGCCTTCCTACACTGTCCTTGTCAGTCCTTCCCCCTCACCTTTCTCCACCTTCTTGTCCTTCTTCTTCCTCCTTTTGCGGTTTCGCTTGGGCATCACTTCAAACTCCCGGAGGTCCAAGGTACTCAGTGTCACTTCCACAGTCTCCAGTTCCCCTGCAGGGCTTTCCTCCTCCTCTTCCTCCTCCTCTGGAGCTGAGGGGGGTGACAAGACAGGGCCTGAGGCCCCACCACACACAGGATGAATCACTCTGGGCTCTCAGCCAGGCAGGCACACCCTGCCCTTCTGCCCAGCACAAGGCAACAGTCTGCAGAATCCCACTGAGGTGCCAGGCCCTGTCATAGGGCTGCAAATCTGGTCCCATGCCATAACACCAGACCCCTCTGCTTGCTCAGAGTCATGTCTCCTTCCATGGCTCAACTCACCACTTGGGTCCTCCTGTGAGGGATCCATCTGTGCTTTCTGCTGCCTCTTCTGCCAGCCCTTCCGGGGGGATCCAGTGATGTCCTCTAATGGTGTGTCCTTCCCTGGGCAGCAAGGGTGCTCCTGTCATTGCCTGGGGACAGGGAACACCCCGTGTCTCCAGGGATTGCGGGTTGGTGAGCTAGCACCTCCACCCCTTAGGGCAGCATCCCCTAATGCACGAGGGATTGAGTCACCCCATCTGCTCTGAACCACAGGCACTGGGGCTGGTCTGACTCACCGTACACCTGCAGGTTGGCCAGCGTGGTGTGGACTCGCAGCACCTCTCGCAGGGTGGCCCTGCGGGTGCTGAGAGGAATGTGGCAGATGCGAGGGTCACCCCGGGTGAGAGGTGGGTTCCTGCCGCCGAAGAGCAGCGCACGGTTGTGACGAGGAGCCCGGAGGAAGATGCGCTGAGCTTCATTCAGGTGCTGTGCCCAGGCTGCCAGCAGCTCCTGAATATCCTGGGGAGGAAGGGTAGGCACTATGGGGTCCTGAGCACACTGCATGGGCACAGGTAGCTCTGGAGTAGGGAGAGACCCGGGACAGAGCAGCCTCAACTGGGCCCTGAACCTCTTTGAGAGCTCACACCCCACCCATGCCCTCCAGCAGCAGTGTGGTACCACCTCGTGGAGCCAGCCATGACCACATCTCCCTGCCAAGAGCCCAGTGGTGTGGTGAGTCCTCACCTTGAGCAGTGCAGCCTCGTTGTAACGCCGCAGGGAGGCTCCGGCTGACCTGGGTGCTGATCCTGGGGTCTGGGCATCCCGTAGGCCCTGGGCCGTGCCACGCCGGGCTCGCACCGTGTAGCGGTGGAAGGTCTTGTGCTCCTGCACCTGGGGGCTGCAGAGAGGGGCAGGCATGAGCAACAGGGGCCCATGCATGGAGAGGAGGTGAGCTGATGCTCCCCGGAAGGCTTGAGGCTTTCCCCTGGGGCCTTAAAGATTAATACAGCTCTTGCAGCGCAACTGGGCTTAGCCAACTCTCAAGCCAAGACCAGGAGGTGTGGGTGCCCAGGCCGTGGTAAGCACTGCGATGAAGGAGTAGGGAGGGGATGGGCGGCCAACACTTAGACCCACTTGACCATACCCAGCAGGAAAAACCCAGCTCTGTCCCCCTCTACTCACCCCCGGAACACAGCTCCTGCAAAATGCCCGCCGCCCATCATCAGCACAACCCAGCAGGTGCTCTCACCGAGGCTCTGCAGCGACGCTGTCAGCTCCACTGGCTCCTCGATGCCACCCTGATACATAGACACCCCTGCTAGCACCCATGGGATCACCTCACCACCTCTTGCTGTCCCCCAGAACAGAGATCAGCCCCTCCTCCGGCTCCAGAAGCAGGTTTCTGGGAGCACCCCAGAGCAAAAAACCAGGTCACCAGCAAGGCTGGGGCTCTGACCTGGCACCAGAGATGACCCTTCCCATCTTGGGATGTGGGTGACTGTCAGACAACATCTACACCCCAGTGCCATCCACCCAACGAGCTGGGCTGTGACTTGCCTTCCCGACGCCCAGCACGCAGCGGTAGGCGGAGATGAGCTGGCCCTTGGCATTGCGGAGCAGCACCTTGTGGGAACGGGGGGCCGGGGGGGTCCCAGGGCTGTCGCTGGCAGAGGGCAGCAACTCTGACTCACTGCTTGTATCTGAGCTCTCGGAATCAGATCCTGAGATGCTGGAAACATCACCTGCAAGGGAAAGATAATGAAGCAGTGGAGCAGGGCAAAGATTAACCAACAGCCTCCCCAAAACTTTGCAGGCGACTCCAAGGGCTAGCCCACGACCCCAGGAATGTCCTGTCCAATACCCTAAGTACCACAGGGGGCTGTGGGCTGGGGAGATAGAAGTCTGGGGCTCTGGATCTCCAGGTTTGCCTAGGCAGGGGTTCAGGGAGAACACTTCTTTCTGTCCATAACGAGTCAGCAGGGCTCAGGAACAGTGCTGGACCCCCAGAAGACCCCACAGGGGCAGAATAAAGGGACCCTGAGCTCACAGAGATAGCCAGCGTTTCATCCCTGAACAGAACAGTTCCAATGATGTTGTTGACAGCCTCTGGGCTCTGCTGGGGGCAGCCTTATTCCTCACCTGTGCGGGTCTTCTCCTCAAACGCTTCTACTGGCAGTGTCCGGCGCCCCAGGAGTCGTTGCTTCAGGTTGAAGCGGTGCCAGTCAAGTCGGTAGTGCTCAGTCTGTGGGGAAACAGGGATAAGGCAAGAGGGTCTGGGCGGTCCATGGAAACTCCCACCCCCAAAATGCCCTGAGGTGACAGACTCTGAGGGCTACACCAATGCTGGGACCCTGCAGTGATCCTGACTGGAAGACTACACTACATTAAGGAGTTAGCTATGTAACAGTTAACCTGAAAAGGAGCAGGCCTGTGCTGCATGTACTATTTACCTCCAGTAAATGACATTTTAAGCAATAATACGCAGGGCCTGACTGCCAGATCCCAACAAGACGTCGGCAGCGGAGCTCCAAGAAGCAGCCGGTGCTGGGCTGAACCACAACAGGGCTGTGCCAGCCCCACTCCCACCTCACGCTGGCCACTCAGCCCTGCTCACCTGCTCCTCCCGGCTGCCAAAGACCTGCCCGCAGGTCGAGCAGCACATTCGCTCCGGCACCTCGGGGACACCATGGGCCTTCTCCTCACTGCTGGCGCCTGCAGGTTTCTCTGGAAGAAGAAAGAAGGGCAGTGCACAGGCGGCTCCCCAGGATGCACCACAAGGAGCGGGGCCTCCCGGATCTCTTTTCAGCCACCCCAAAAAGCCCTACGGTTGTCGAAGGACCTTGGGGTGATGCTGAGGAAAAGTCCATTGACCCACCCACCCGGCAGCTCCCACGGCCAACCTCCAGGGCGGCCGCTCCAGCTATGCTGGGACAGAGCTCCCTCTTTGCAGCCTGGGGCTGGGGGACATAACCCTGGCCGAACAACCCCCCCTGCGGAGCCCCCCCTTACCGTGCCTCGCAGGTGCCGGGTCAGCCCCCCACGCCTCCGCAGCGGCTCCGGTGACGAGGGTCAGTCCCTGCAGGAGGACGGGGTCCTTGGCGGCCTCGAAAACCGACCTGCTCTCCGGGGCGGGCATCGCTCCTGCTCCCGGCGGAGGGGACAGCGCCTGAGCGACGGGCCTGGGCCAGAGGCGGGGGGGAGGCGGGAACCACCCCAGGGTGACCGGACGGTTCCCCTCCCCGGTGTCCCTTGTCCGCCTGTCCCATGTCCCCGCCCCACGGGCTCACCCCGAGCCCTCCCTGCGGCCGGGACCCTCCCGCCGCCGCTGACCCCGGGACCCGCCCCCCAACGCCATTAATCCGCCGGGGTTGCCATCGCCGTGATCTCCCCCACCCCGTCC